CAAGGATATAAATGAAGAAAGAGCAGTAGTTACTTTGAGTTCCATGTAATTTATGATTCTGTTAGTTTTGAACTAGTGAGCCGTAAAGTGTGTTTTGCACTCGTTGAGAGCGAAGTTATTGAGATTGTGAATCGCTGTGAGTCATAGCGTGTATTATAAAAGTTGTTAAGTTTAAAGTGACGAGAAACGTACTGATTGTGGAACTACTGTATACCAAAAATTTGTATTGAGAAAGAATAAACTGATTTAATCAAGAAAGGACTTGTATCGCTGAAGATCCTCGAAAGGAATTTCTACCAGAAACAAACAAACAAGCAGATACGTAACAATATAATTCTAAAAAGAAGAACGAAACAAATAGTTAGCCCTACTTCTCTGTACAGCTATGATCAATTCTACCTCTAAACAATATACTTATCAAGTTTCTTTAGGTTTTTTCTGCCCATCCAAAAGCATATATTTACTAAGAAACTATCATCTCTTGGGAATATAATCCTAAAGATTTTGTTTTTCATGTGACTTTTCCTTCACTTTCTTGGTTTTAGTAGTATAGCCTCTCATTTCCACCCTTCTATTGCTTCATAGCATGTGAAACTACTAATGTAGCTTAGTTTCAGAGGTTTTCCTAGTGTGCAGTTGATCACAAATTGTGCACCTGTAAAAATATTTGTGCAGTTGAAAAATTCAACTGTATAAGTACGTTCAAGTGGCTAAATAATAAAAATTTAATGTTTAGTCATATTTAATATTATAAAACTCCATTTCAGAGTTGATAAATATATTTATTTACTAGAATATTCTTCATTTTTTTGGATCATTTGATACTAGGCCTGTATATATATATGAGGTGCATGTATTAAAAAATGATGAAGTTAAAATATAATTATGCAGTTGAAAAAACTCCTTAGGAAAAGCTCCGCTTAGTTTTGAAAATGGCAAAGTTTAAATATAATTGGCTAGAGAAGATTATAACCTACTTACATCAATGTAGAATGAAGAAACTGGTGTGAGAAGTAATTTTTGGTTTGTGGGAAATAAACAAGACCTAGCTAATACATAGAAAAGCCATGGAATGTTGAAGGAAGTTTAGAAGACTTAGGAATAAAACCATAGATCTGGGTATTTTTTACAGTTTCTTTATGAAATTGTTTTTTGTTAAATTATGTTGATTTGTTTCAGAGCTACATAAATTTTCTTCTATGACAATACATCAAATAAGTCATTTTCTATTTAAAGAGCACAGTATAGAATAGCAAAATATTATTATTATAAAATGCTTATATATTGAATATTAGTGTTAGGTTTATTATATTCAAACAATGCACATATATAAGGTAACTTATAATTTATTGATAAAGAAAGCATATTTATTAGATATAAATTTATTTTGATCAATAATATTTATTGTTAGCAAAACTATTGGTACTTAACCTGACCTGATATCATTTTGAAATGTCAAGTTCTAGGCCATTGATAAATATTTGTCAGTTTGTGTTTTTTATGATATTTAGCCAGAACATAATGACTATTTCAATTGGCAAAAAAATTAATGAAAAGAAATATGGTAATGAAAGTGATTGGGTATATAAAATGGACTTTCTGATTAACATAAAAAAGTTTAAATTCTAGAATGATATAAAGAGTGATTTATGATTTCCAAAAAAGTGTTTTACAATAAAATTTTGGAAATTTCACAACATACAAAGTATTAGAAAAATTAAATCAAATTACATGAATGTTTTAAGACAAAAATATAACTATTTAGTAAGTTTTTACTAAGTTTCATGCAATTTGATTAAATATTTCCAATTTGAAAAAGAAAGAAGTTAAGGAATATCAGTGACACCTCTCCAGTTCAGAAAGTGGGAGGCCTGGCATGGCCAGGTGATTAGGGTGCTCGACTCAAAATCTGAGGGTCGCAGGTTCGAATCCCTGTCCCACCAAACATGCTCGACCTTTTAGTCATGGGAGCATTATAAAGTGATGGTCAATCCCACTATTCGTTGGTAAAAGGGTAGCCCTAGAGTTGGCAGTGGGTGGTGATGACTAGCTGCCTTCTCTAATATTACACTGATAAATTAGGGTTGGCTAGTGCAGATTGCCCTCATGTAGCTCTGTGAGAAATTCAAAACAAATCAAACCAAATGAGAAAGGGTGGGAAAAGAAAACAAATTTCCCCATGAAAAATTATGTGGGTATATATGACCAGGGGGAGTATGGCAGATTTGACTGACTAACTGTACAATTTGAAGGATAGTTTTCTTCTATTCAAATATATAACTTTTGTAAGTTTCTTCAAAAATCTAAAAGCTATAGATTTTTTATCATTTATCTGGTTTCCAGTGTGAAACCTAGGACTATAACTTCTTTAAATATAAATCTATTAATTTTTGATATGCTGTATAAGAGACTGATTACTAACATTAATTACAACTTGAAATAATACAGGGTAATGATAATTCTGTACTCAGTTTTGTTTGCTGTACATTTACATTTAGAGATGTTAGTTCTTTTTTTAGCCAAACATTGACTGACTGGTGGATGGAAACAGCACAAAAAATTAAATCACAAACCTGATGGGTACAGAAGAAATAAATAAATAAAATTTTATAAACCTGTCAAAAACATTTAGTGATGTTGTGAACAAGTACAAAAAAGGTAAAAAAGCAGAAAACAATAGAGTAAAATTAAAAAAACAGACAAGAGTTAATATATATTACTTTTTGATTTATCTGAGAGGAAAAGTACAAGACTGTCTTTTAAAAATCTGAAACTGAGTTATGTTTTTTCCCACTTGATTTTATTTTATGTTTTCAAATTTTGTTTTATTTTCGTCTTTTAAAATTATTTGTTTTTAATATTTGTTCACTATACCTTTGAACTTTTTTGGAGCCAAGTTATGCTTTTGTTTATTTTTTTTTGGACACTCCAGCTCTTAGATTTAATATTTTTTCATGCTGTTTTCATCCACTGTTAATCCCTTTTTGGTTAAGAATGTATATATATATGTGTAGTTTTGTGCTTTTTTTTTTATTAATCTGTTACAATAAGTATTGTGTTAAACATACAATGAAATATTTGTCAGCTAATTTCAGTCAAAGAACAGTCAGGCATTATATATATATATATCTTACTCAAAAACACTCGAAATTTAGAAACAAAATAAATAAAAAAGTTATTTTTATATTATTGGTTGTTAGTGATTATTATTTGCTATTATAATTTGTTGTTTGTTTTTTTAATTCAGCACATATTTCTGGTCGTTCCAATCTCCTTTATGCTACTAAATGTGTCCCTGACAAAAAATTAGATCACAATGAAGCCATGGATGTCATTCGTGAGATCAGCTCTAAACTAAAAGATGACGTCAGACCTGCAGTTCCTAATTTATTTACTCATCTAGTGTACATTCTTCGTAACCTTTCACACAGTTCAGTAACTGAAATTTATAATTCTTTAAAAAGTGGTGATCTGCATGATTTACCAAAAGCAATGTAAGTTTAACTTTAATAACTCTCTGTGTGTGTATTTTATCCATCTTAAGTTATAGGTAATACAAGTTATGTGGATCATTGAGGTTGGAGAACAAATTTAAGTGATTTGTAATGTTGTGTAAACTCTCAAGAAAAGATACATGAAAACTGTGTTTTTTTAGAAAGCTCATATGTATAAAACTGACATATCAAAATTTGGCTGACACTTTTCCATTATTTTATTGCTTCATACACAGGACAGTTAATCTGACTGGAATATGTAAAATATTTTCTTAAATAGTGCTTATAGTAGATACTTAAAAATAAAATGTATAAAATTAACAAAGATAATAAAATATGTATAATTAGTGGGGGGAGAAAATAATTGAAATAATATTTATTAAATTAGAAAACAAAAATGGTATTTGAATATAGCCATGCAAAAAAAGGGTTTTATTAAAAATAATGATATTTATCATGAAGAGAACTTGTATGATAACTTAATGTTTTCTGTCATCCACATTTCAGTTATTCAGCTCAGTAGTGGGTGTATGTGTTAACAAAGTAATCTATAGACTGTATTCCAATTTTTAAAAATATTTATGTTTTGTTGATAACAGTAATTTATATAAGTGAGAGGTAAGTTGTAATGTGGTGATATTAATTTACAAATTTCAAAAATCATTACAGACTAAATTTAGAAACACTTGATTACATGCATAACATTTTAACAATGCAAACACATGGTTTGATGACATGGTAGATATGCTAAACATACTTATAATATCAATTTCATGTTATATTCATTTAATATCTACAACTCTATTAATGTACGGTCTAGAATGGTCTTTTTTACAGATGTTTTTCAGTCCAAAGTCAGTATAGGTATATGAGCTCTAGAAAATTGAAAACTGATCAATCAGAGTTAATTTTATATTTCTTACTTTAAATTCATTCTGATAAATATTCATGATTCTGTAGTTGTTAAAATATTACCTCTGCCACTCTGTGTTTGTGTGTAAGTTTGTTTGTATGTTCGTCATCAAGAGTTCTCAAAAACAGCTGAATGGATTTGGATGAAAGTTGGTATACATTTAGGCTATGATCCAACTTATAAGTGATTAATTTTTGGAGGGTCAAGGTCAAAGTCACAGCAAGGTCACGAAAATAAAAAAAATTCCTATCTGTTAACATAGGAACCGAGTTTCAAAAGGATCGGATTTTGAGGAATATGTCAGTGGACATATGTAGAATGTTATTCCTCATTGTCCTGCCAAAAAAATAATGGTCAGTGTCTGTTGATAACGACAGACATATGAACACATTTTTTATATTTTTTGAGAGCCATATATGATTAACACTGCATGGTAGAGGTACGCGTTCTATTGCGTGCCTCTCTTGTTCTTTCTCTTATGAGTCCTATACAGAACAGATAGCTCACATAAAGATAAAAAAAACTAGATTTACACTGTAGAGTAGCAGCAATGAATAGTATCAACTTTCAGAAATATAATTTCTTTGATGACAATAAACACAAGAATTTTTTCGTGGCAGCTTGATAGTAAATGTAATATATACAATTGTATCTGCACTAAGATATCTGTTTGGCTTGTGTTTCTGTTTGCTTTGTAACAGTGTGTCAAGAACAGTATGATATTGACTTTGTGAAGTTGTTATGGCCAGTACTGATTTTATTCCTTAGTAAAGGTTGAGTTAATTTCAAATTATTTTAATAATGTTTTGGCATAAGTCTGTTTTTAGAAGTTTTTTTTTAAAGAGGGACAAACGTTTATGTTTGTGTAATACATTTTACAACTTCTTACTAGGGATGTTTTTCTGGATTCACTTCCAATGGCAGGATCAGAAGGAACTATAAAAATGATGGTTAGTCTCCTTAAGAGTGACACTGTAACAGGTATTCGAGCCAAGATTTGGAAGACAGCTTTTTCTTTCTATAAAAATGTTACTGAAGAATCAGTAGAAGCATGTGTGGTAAGACTGGAAAAAAATAATGGTCTCTATACTTCTAATTTATAATTTACATTCACAAGTTTTCTTACAACTATAATAAAACAAAATGAAAGAAACTTTTTCAAATGGGTCATCATTGAGCCTTCTTTCAATTGCAATCAAACTAAATTGATTACTGATTTTTTTAAATCTATTTATCAATATTTTAGTTAAAGTTGTATGCATAACTTAAATGTAAAAGTTCAAGTTTTCTTATGAGATAAGTAATTCTGCTTGAATATGGAATTCATTGTCTTTATCTTGTAATAAGCCCTGATTTAGATAGTTTTCTCCAACTCAATTTGATCATGATTTAATTCTTTGCTAATACTTATACTTTGTCTTTATCTTGTAATAAGCCCTGATTTAGATAGTTTTCTCCAACTCAATTTGATCATGATTTAATTCTTTGCTAATACTTATACTTTCATTTAAAAATTAAAATAGTTCAAAAACAGTTTTCCTCCACTCACCCAAAGCTGTCTCAATCCTGGACTGCCCTTTAAGCAGTGCTAAAATGTTTTCACTAACAGCACACCAGTCTTTTATACTTCATCAGTTTTGTGCCATTTCAGAACACGTGCTGAATGTGTGACTACCCTCCACCAATCATACTATGCCATCTATCATAGAACAAGCCTCACTTTCTCAATTGACGTTCTAGTGTGTAGACATGTGTTTTAACTTGCTCTCTATGTGACTGCAAAATTTTAATTGTGCTTGATCACAAATTTCTATCTGTTTCAACTTCAAGTTTCGACTTCTTGTGTTTAATTTCCATTGTGTCTATTCATTTGTTTTACAAATATTTCTGTTTTCCGGTTTTCTAATTTGTTAATTTGAGATTTAATATGGCAGATGATGAACTTCCCAGGACAGATGACAATGGTTCTAACACGAGTCCCCAGTTTCAGCGTTGACGATGTCTGCTACAGAAGTACAGACTTTAGTTCACGGGGAGTTTGTGTCTTAAGTTCAGCCGAGGATTTCTTCCTTTCTCATTACGATTTTCTGTGAAGAAGGATATAACTATTGAATGGAAACTTCTTTCTACTGCATCTTCCAGCTGTTCCCGTGCTTCCATGTATATTCCTTGGTTAGGTATTGTTCTTTTTTCCCAGGAGATCTGTAAGTTTTTCAGCATGTATTACTCCCTCCCAGTTAGTAAACCGATGTTTAGCGAGTTTATGTAAACTTGTGTGGATCGACCTAATTTCCTTATGCAATAATTAAGGTCTTTCATGTATTTGTTAAGTTAGATTTTTATAATTCTTTTACCATCTAAATTACTTTAGTTTACATTTCCGTTTAGAGCTTGATTATTATTTTGTTTTCGTTTACTTTTTGGTATGTGGACAGGTTTTGCACTATAGTTACTGTTTGAGTAATTGTAACTTTGGCCAATGTAGTGGGTGTGTTGGTTCCTTATTTATACTTCCTTTCACTGTTTATGTTAGTTAATTTGTAAATTCCTCTTCCTTTACTGATAGTCACATCTAATTGAGGATTAGATTTGAGTCAAATTTTGTTATTGTTAACTGGGTGTCTTATTACTCTCATGTTCTTCAGGGTAGGTTTTACTTTCATGTCCTTTGTCTTTTCGGACTGTTATAGTGGAATTATAAGTTCGATACTTACATGTCTGTTATCTTCTAAGTTCCTTTAGTGGTTTTGTACTTTAGGTGTTGCTTATTGTTTTATGTTTGAGGTCGAATTCCATAGTTTTGCAAGTTTGTTATTTTTATATACTTTGTACAAATTCTAGGTTTTGTTAGTACTTTCTTTAAGTATGTTTAGTTTAGGTGTCTTTTTTGCTACACTTCATGACAGTTTCATGGGTTCTATCTGAAAGTTTTGCCTTCATTTCCACCCCACCCCCCCCATCCACTTCCCAGATCTCCTTCCCTTCTCCTCGGTATCATACCTTTTCTAGGGTTTTACTCCCATTTAATTGTTGTCCCTTGAAAGATGGGAGTTTAGAGACCCATCATAGACGTGTTCTGGTTGAGCTCTTATCTGGACCCATCTCGCTTCTTTATGGAGTCCTACCTCTCTCTTTGGGGAATTGTTTTCCACAGAAATCTGGATGACCAAATCATCATTAGGGATGTCTATCTTCATATTCCAACTGCTCCAGTGTCATGCCATTTTCTTCGGTTCATCCACGAGTGTCTTGTCTTCCAGTTCTGGGTGCTGCCATTTGGTCCTTCTTCGGTTCTGTGTGTTTTGTTGAGTGGTACACTCTTTTGTCTGTCATTTTCACTAGTTTGGTCTTTAGACTCTCCTTTTCATGAACAGCTGGCTCTTGCTCACCTCTTCCCATGCCCTATTGGTCAATCATGCCTGCTTACTTTTTCAAGAAACTAATTGGGTAGCATTTTCTGATCCAGTTGGACAAATCCATTCTCAACACCACTAAATATATTATTCATTTGGAGTTTTTTCTTCATTTTCCTTCTTTGTAGGACTCAGCCTTCTCCACTTCGGTTCAGGGATATTAAGTGGGCAGTCTCAATGGCCCTACCCTCTTCTTTTCTCACTGCCTGAGGGTTCTCTCTCTTTTGGTGATGTGGGCTTCCTTGGAAGTTCTCATTCTCTTGGGTCAAGCTCACATGCATTCCCTTCAGTGGATTCTTCTTGACCAGTGATCCCTTGGACCATCTCATACCCCTCCCCCTGGGATGAGGGCCTACCTTGCTTGGTGACTCGACAGGAACTGACCACAGTGGGGGTTCTCATTCCTTCTCCACCTTGTCTGGAGTCTCATCTGTTTACTGATTCTTCCTTGGTGGGTTGGGGGCATTCCTCGAATCCCAAGAGATTTCTGGTCAATGGTTCATTGAGGAGGCTACTCTCTGTTTCAACATCATGGACCTTTTGACAGTTCATCAGGTTCTGTAAAATTTCCTACTGCTCCTGAGCGGCAGATGGTTATGTTTCATTCTGAATATTCCACTGTTGTCAGCTATATCACCAAGCAAGGGGGGACCAAATCCAGATCTGTGTGTTTTCTGATTCTGGACCATCTTCAGTGGGTCCACAACCACTAACTGATGATCTTGGCATGTCACTTTCCGGTGTTAATAGTCTGGTGGCTGATCGCTTATCTCGACCCAACCAGGTTCTCCTTACGGAATGGTTCCTTCTTCCATGGGTATTTTGGTGGGTGTGTTCTCAACTGAAACACCATATATAGATGTGTTTGCCACTCACTAGAACACCAAAATCCCTTCCTTTTGGTTTCTGGTTCCACACCCTTCAGCTGTGGGAATAGATGCATTCAGTCAGGATTGGAGTGGTCTTCACACATATGCCTTCTGCCCAATCAGCCTTCTCTACAGGGTCTTTTCCCTTATCCAGACCACTCCTTGTTGTGTCCTGCTCATTGCTCTGTATCAACCTGCTTGGATGTGGTTCCTTCTGCTCTGGCCCTTACTGGAGCATCATTCCCTGCCCTTACCTCTGTCCTAGTCTCTCCTCCAACAACCACGATCAGACATAGTTCATTCCGATGTCACCAAACTCCATCTTCACCCATGGCTTTTGTCTGGTTCCTTGCCTCAGCTCAGGAACTCACCCCTTGTATAGCATCTTTTATTTCCTATTCCAATCGACCTACCTCCTTATCTGTGTATCAGAGGCAGTGATCTGCCTTCAGACCTCGGTCCGTTCGGTACCTCATCTTTTCCAGTTCTTTGTCTGGTTGTTTTTTTCAGGGTTTGTCTATGTAAACTGTTTCTAGTTATAGGGATGTTCTGTCGAACACCTTCTGATTCTCCCTTTTCCAGAAAGCTTTCTCCTTTCCTGATATTTACTTCCTTTTCTGTTCCTTTCATCCTGTCCTTCCTCCATGTCCCTTTCTTTTGCCATATTGGATCATAATTTTGCCTTTGATGCCCTGTCCAGCTGTTATAATCATTACAATACCAAACAATGAATTATACAGTAATATTCAGTATCCAAAGGGCTTCCTCCAAATTTTTTTGTCCAGGCAGACTGCACTTGTTGAGCAAAAATTTTTATGCAAGGCGCATCCCCCTGGATGTTGCCTGGGTAGACTACACTTGTTGATCTCTATATCTTATACAAGGCATTTCCACTAGATGTTTTGCCAGGATGGACTGCACTTGACATACTCCAGTGTAACACAAGGCATTACCCTTGGCACAAACTTATACTGGCCCATTGTCACTTCCATACTAGATTTTCCATTTTTGTCAATGCTGTGCTATTTCAAGTCATGGTTATTTAGCAATTTTCCACTGATTCTGTGCCTGCCAAATCAATTCCCCCCTCTTTATGTTCCTGTGTTAATTACTAGGCAAAGAGCATACCTGTTCCAGAATTAGTGCTATACCCCACAGGTGTGCTTTCTTTTTTATGTTCTTGGACATCTCTTCTTTCAGTGTGGTCACTTTCCATTTGATTGGATATTAATGCTTCTTCATCAGCCCCTCCACCTTTGCAATGTGGAATTCTAGCTTTGGGTAAAGTGAGGTAAGACCATTTTGGAAGTTAACATTTTCTTACACTGAAAATGTATTCCTGATAGGTACTTACTTCTTCCCACCCTTTCTCTCCACTGATATGCCAGTGTTTCTGGTTTGTACCTGCCAATTCTCGAAAGTGAGGATTGTTCTAGAATAGTAGAGGGAGCTAGCTGCACTAGTATAGATGGCACACTATGATTAGTGGAGGGTAGTCACATTATCAACACATGTTCTGAAATGACGTGAAACTGATGGGGCATAAAAGACTGGTATAAGAAAATGTTAACTTTCATTTTAAACTATTGCAACAGTACATAACCTTATTGTGTAATAAACATATTATACATAAAATAATAGAATGATATAGGTTACAAAGACTGTAAATAAGGACATTCAGTTGTCATAGTGCCTTTTTATACATACATTTGGATAATATATACTAATTTGTAAATATTTATATGCTTCTTTGAAAGATTATGTAACAACATGAAATTTAGATTTTGTGGTAGCTAGATAAAAACAAAAATAAAACTGTATCATTTAATGTGGAAATTGAAGAATGCCAGCAAAGGCACTATTTATTTTGTTTTATTTATTTATTACTAACTTATTAGCCATTGTTGCTGAATAAGAATGATGTAGACCGAGCGACACTCTTTGGTGTGTCATCCATGGTACACCAACTTCTGTCACAATGTGAGCAGTTGTGCAGAGAATGATGCTGTAAAGAAAGTCATAGAAGCTCTTCATAAACATTTAGGCTATAAGTGTCGACTTGATAAATCGGAAGATGAAGACAAGGTGTGAAAAATTTAAATGTTTCTAGATGATTTAGTTTGATATTATATATATAGTTATCGTAATCAGTCTGATAAAACAGAAATTACTTCTAATTCCTTGGCACAGTAGTTTTTAACCTATCTTGATTTACATTTACATAGAAACTGTTGATAATGATTTTTTAAAATATTTTCATTGTTAACCTATAAATATTTTAGATTGTTTTAGAAATCAAGTGACTACAGGGCAAACATAATGTGTTTCAAAGTCAAATTTAATATTATATATCGAGAAAACTAATTAACTCACATATAATTTAAACTTGGTTTCATTTATTATTTTTTGTATCACAGAATAATTCTATGCTCTCTACGTGTTTCAAGGTTGGAGGATTAACACATCATTAGTTAATGTTCTCAGTTACATTTTGGGGCAAAAATGTTTCCCTTTTAATATATTGTATTTTGTCATAATGTATTTTGAAAAATATTAAATCTTCTTCATTGTAAAGCTTATTGATGTCCACCACCATCTTCATTATGGGGTTTCTTGTAGTAGGATATTTCTAAAATATTTCTTCTCTCAGTATTAAGTATCAGATGAAACACAATGAATGGTATTTCTTAAAGTCTGTTTGAAATATGAAGAATAATAAGAAAAAGTAAATTTTTGGTTGAAATAATTAAATGTCAGGTTATTATGGACTCAGTTTCATCAGGCCCGGCATGGCCAGGTGGTTAGGATGCTCAACTCGAAATCTGTGGGTCGCGGGTTCGCATCCCCGTCCCACCAAACATGCTCGCCCTTTCAGCCGTGGGGGCGTTATAATGTGATGGTCAATCCCACTATTCGTTGGTAAAAAGAGTAGCCCAAGAGTTGGCGGTGGGTGGTGATGACTAGCTGCCTTCCCTCTGGTCTT